CGTATTTTCTCGCATTTCCCGATAACCTGCAGCTGGATATCCATTCAGCTCGAGACCATTATTCTCTCTGGCATGAAAGGCGAAAGAAAGGGAGAAAACAAAAAAAAGAGAAACGAGAGAGAGAGAGAGAGAGGAGGAGGAAGAAGACGAAAAAAATGGAGATATGATAAAGAGAAGAGAAGGGAGGAGAGGAATAAGAAATCAGGGAAATGAATAAAAGCTCATGCATATCGTTTGTCTTCAAAGTTCATTTCCTAGAATCCTATTTAGAGTGCTATTTTCTCATTTAAGTTTCTCTCTTTCTCCTTTGAAGATTGTGGGACAGCATCTTGATTTATAAAAGAAAAAAAAAAATTCTTGAGCCTTGTATTTTTTTTCCTTTCTTCTATTTCCCTCTTGTTTTGCTTTATCCACTGCACTTATCTTCTGTATCATCCGTATCAGTTTTCTCAAAACTTGATACTTGAAAATGACGTATATTCTTCACATCCCTGTCTACTATCCTTATAAGAGGAAATACACAAGCTACCCCTACCCGCAGCAGTGCAATGTCCCTTCAGCAGTATGTTCATGTTCAGTGCCAATGCAGAATGTGAGGAGAATTGCCTCCTGAATCCAGTCTTTTCGCTCTACATCACAAGTTATGACTCATAAAAGGTACAAAGCGAGGTCAGTTCCGCGCTGTGGGCGACTGCAGGAACAGACGTCAGACGTGTTGTTTTTATTGTACTGGAGTTTGACAGATATGTATTTTTTTTTTTGAGAGAGGTACGCAGATAGATAGACAGATAGACAGATAGAGAGATAGATAGATAGACAGATAGATAGACAGATAGATAGAGAGAATGAGAGAAAGAGCGAAAGAGATAGATAGAGAGAGAGAGAGAGAGAGAATGGGAGAGAGAGTGAGAGAGAGAGAGCGAGAGTTAGAGAGAGAGAGAGATAGATAGACAGATAGATAGAGAGAGAGAGAGAGAGAGAGACAGAGAGAGAGGGGGGGGGGGAGCGAAACCGGGGTTCACGTGTTGTGCATCAATTATGTGACGTTTAACTGATAATTTGCTTTAAAGGCCGGAGCTCCATATTGCATCAT